GATGTGGATGATCGGAAAAGCACAGCTGGGTACGTATTCTTCATGGGAAACTCGGCTTTCACTTGGCTATCAAAGAAACAACCAATCGTAGCTCTATCAACGTGTGAAGCCGAGTATGTAGCAGCATCTTGGAGTGTCCAACATGCAGTTTGGCTTAGAAACTTGCTAAGCAAACTGAAAATTATGAAAGCTGAGAAAGTGTTGATCCGAGTAGACAACAGGTCGGCAATCGAGCTAGCCAAGAATCCAATCAATCACGAAAGAAGCAAGCACATCGACGTCCGATTTCATTTCATCAGGGAAAAGGTGAAAGAAGGAAGCGTGGAGCTCGAACACGTAGGAAGTAAAGAGCAGGTAGCCGATATCTTTACAAAACCATTGCCGACAACAACATTTCAGAAGTTAAGAAAGTTACTCGGAATGAAAGAAGAAGGAGAAATTTAAGATTATGGGGGAGTTTTGTTGGAAAATCTTAAATTTCTAGAGATTCCGAGATATCCGAGATATCCGATTTAAGTTATCTGGAATTATTTGATTTATCTTTTGAGTTATTTTGTTTCAGATTAGATAAGATATTTTTTTGATAAGTTTTGATTTGATAAGATATTTTATTATCTTCTTGTTAGTTCAGTATGTTGTAAAATGGCTATTTAAAGGCCATCTCTTATTTAATAAAAAACACAATGAGTTGCTACGTTCACCCACAACATTAGTATTACCTCGTCTCTCTTAATTTTTCTACAATTATTTTATTCTAACTATATTGTTAGTTCTATCAATCCCTTTATAATAAGTTGTTATTAAATCACTTACATATATCTTATCTTACAAATTTCATATTACATGAAATCAGTCTATCCTAACAAGTTAGTATAAACTTTATGTTAGATATATTCTTTCCTTGGTATCAGAAATGTTTTAGAGATATCATATCTAAAAATATAATCAAATTAATATATATAAATAAAAAATAACTCTCATCTTATAAATTAATTTTATAAGATTGAAATAAATCAATTTAAATATACAATCTAATAAAATGTGTTGTGACTTGTGACAAGTTAAAAAACAGAAGAAGAAAAAATAATGTATGAATATCATTTTAAATATTTTATTTGCATCTATCTTCTCTTTTATTAGTTTTTTTTTTCTTTTTATCATCTGTATCACTTTCACACATTTATTTCTCTCTGTATTAACTCTTTATTTATTTGAGTATTGTTAAATATAGTGTGGCTTTGACCGTGTGAATTAAATTTTTAGATATGTTTTCCTCACAAGAACACATGGGTTGGCAGTTCATGAAATTTAGTCATAATTGACTTTTATGTTTGATATTGTGCTTTCAAATGAGGTACGAGAGCAATGAATTCTTCAACCAGATCATGTCTCGCAGCAGCATACTCTGTGGAAATCAGACTGTGGATGAAAGCAGTGATTTCAGTGCAGTTGGACAACAAGTGCTGATGGATCTACAAATTGCAACACCAAAAATTAGTGGCTTCTATGCAGCTACCAAGACACAGGTGTCTGGTGGTGCAATCTATGCCATTGCACAATGTGCTGAAACTCTCACACAAGACACTTGTAAGGATTGCTTATCAATTGAACAAAGCACCATACAAGGTTGTCTTCCCAATACAAATGGTAGGGCATTCGATCCTGGTTGCTTTATGAGATATTCAGAGACACCCTTCTTTGCCGATAATCAAACCATTGATATCAATCCATTCTTGAAACAAGGTATAGAAAAGCCACGGTTGCATTTAGCTAGAGTCTCTTTATATAAATTTTTTTACGATAAAGTATGTTTTTGACTCATCTAATAAAAATCCATAAATTCAGTTTTAGTCGTTCAAAAAAGTTTTGCTCTATTTTAATATATCTAATTTATAAAAAGTACTATGTTTAGTCCAATAAAATAGTTTAAATAACCCTTTATAACCATTTTTAAGTATTATTTAAACCATTATAAAGACTAAAAGTAGTACCTTTTCAAATTAGAATGATCAAAATAGTTTAAGAAAATAATTGAAGGAATAAAATAAAATTTCAAAGATTTTAGAGCTGAGGGATTAGCGCCTTATTTTGTTCAATAAATCTCATTCATGATTTCATAAATTTTAACCAATACTAGAATGTATATTTAGAAAATTGCTTTAGAAAGTGATTGCTAGGATTCCTTTTACACTATTTCGATCTTGATCGGACATATCATTTGGAATTGAGGGCAAGTAATTTTCTGCCTTGAAGGAGGAGGACATTTAAACAAGAAGTGGATCGTTATTGGTGGTGGTGTTGGAGGTGCACTCCTTGTTGTGATCCTTATTTCATTATTTCCCAGGCATAGAAGATCCCAAAGTCCCAAGAGAGTTCCCAGAAGTAAGACTAATTGAAAAGTTTTTATGTGATGTTTTTCATCCAACTATTACACAATAATTATCATGTCTTTTTTTCTTTAAAAATTCCTTGTTATGAATCCATGACTAAATGTATGTTCAAATAAAACTCAAACTCATATTTTACTTAGCAGGTAACATATTGGGAGCAACTGAATTGAAAAATGCAACCAAGTATAAGTATAGCGACTTGAAAGCTGCAACAAAAAATTTTAGCGAAAAAAATAAACTAGGAGAAGGAGGTTTTGGCGCGGTTTACAAGGTAAAACTGAGTTGTAAGTTATTCATTACATATCAATTGTGTATTCTGTGAGAGATTTTATTTTTCTTTTTTTAATGTAAACGAATTGATCTCCATAATGTAAGAAGGAAATATTAATTATAAGCTACACATATAACGAATTTTTTTTAATTATGATGCTATTGAATGAACAGGGGACCATGAAAAATGGAAAAATTGTTGCGGTCAAAAAATTAATTTCAAGAAAATCTAACAAGATAGATGATGAGTTTGAAAGTGAGGTAACACTTATAAGTAATGTTCATCATAGAAATCTGGTTCGGCTTCTTGGTTGTTGCAGTAAAGGCCAAGAAAGAATCCTTGTTTACGAATACATGGCAAACAACAGCCTTGACAAATTCTTATTTGGTAACTGACATATCAACTTTGAATAAAAGCATTTTAAGTTAGTTTTCGATTCTTTAACTTCTTTTTTATTCTAAAAGCTTTGAGCATATAAACATGAGATCAACAGGTAAAAGAGAATGCTCCCTCAACTGGAAACAACGCTATGATATAATTTTGGGCACAGCAAGGGGATTGACTTATCTGCATGAAGAATTTTATGTTTCTATCATACATAGGGATATTAAGAGTGGAAATATTCTTTTGGATGAAGAACTTCAACCCAAAATTTCCGATTTTGGATTGGTGAGACTCTTACCTGAGGATCAATCTCATCTTAGCACAAGAGTTGCAGGAACATTGTAAGTAAATAAAAATTAGTTTGAAAATTTTAAAGGGTAAAAATGCTTTCATATGCTATGCATAACAGTTTCATAATTTCTTAATATTATATATATGGCATAAATTTTGTGCACATGTCAGGGGATACACAGCACCCGAATATGTACTCCATGGTCAATTATCAGGAAAGGCCGATACATATAGCTATGGAATTGTAGTTCTGGAAATTATTAGTGGTCAAAAGTGTACTGATGTGAATGATTGTGATGATGATGAATACTTACTAAGACGGGTAAGAAATTTCCCATAAAAATATACCAAAAATTGTTTTTTTTTTTTTTCTTATAACGATCTTTCTATATGACCCTTGGTTTTGACTATGATTAATAGGCATGGAAGTTATATGAGAAAGGCATGCAGTTGGAGCTGGTGGACAAAAGCTTAGACCCTAATACCTATGATGCAGAAGAAGTTAAGAAAGTCATAGGCATTGCATTGTTGTGCACACAAGCATCGGCTGCAATGCGGCCAGCTATGTCTGAAGTAGTACTCCTACTTAGTAGCAATGACTTACTTGATCATATGAGACCTTCAATGCCTCTCTTTATTGAGTCAAATTTAAGGCCCCATAGAGATATCCCTATCTCAACTGGTTCCTCTACATCTAATGTTACTACCTCCAATTCTATAGTACCTGCTCGATGATTAATTGTATGATGATGAGTACAATTATGTGTAATAAATCTTACCTATTTTAAAGAGTAATTTGCACTTATGCTCTGTAAGTTTTCTTGATATTTCACATGACCCTTTGCTTTGGTAAGATTTAGAGCAACACCTTGTAGAAATTTAAGATATTATGTATATTTTGAATAACAAAAGGTGTAGGTGTAATGTGTAAAGAGTGTTTTTTTTTCAAATAATTAAAGATGGTCGGTATACAAGGGAGATATATTGGTCAGGGTTTGATGAAACTTTAGGAAATGCAAGTACAATATATTTGGAAAAGAGCACTGAACCACTATTGCATAACATGTTATTTACATTTATTAGAAATGACTATTTTATATATGTTAGTTGTTAAAAGGACGTAAATTATTGAAGGCATCGTAATAAGTCCCAAACTTTTAAAATTAGATCTAAAAGAATCGACGTAAAATCTCTAGATCTGTTTGTAAAGCGCGAAAAGGTAGAGTGGTGGTTTGTATAGGATTTCGAATGAGGAACTATTGATAGAATAGAGGTTCAATAATGTTTATAAAAAAATTCAACATTTTTTTAAAACAGTATAGTAACAAAATTGTAAGAGAGTAAATGAAGAGATAAGTAAAAAGAACATGTAGTATTTTTATATTGATTTATCTCAATCATTGAGATTATGTCTATTTCTTGATCAATTCGATCAAGTTTCACTGTCTTTTATAAAATTATTATTGGGAAAAATCCAAGTCCCGCTAATCCTAGATCATTAAAAAGGGTCACCCACCATTTATCCACGTACCAAGCCCAATAGTTCTGGACGTGAGGGGGTGTATTGAGAAAAACCCAAGTCCCACATCGACTAGAGATTAGGCAATTGAATAATATATAAGTGGAAAGCAACCCTCACCTTACAAGCCGGTTTTGTAGGGTTGAGTTAGACTTAATCCACTATTCTAACATGGTATCAGAGCCATTTAGATCCACTTTAAAAATGGGCCACCCACCATTGATGCATGCCTCATAGGCATGAGGGGGTGTATTGGGAAAAACCCAAGTCCCGCCAACCCTAGATCATTAAAAAGGGTCACCCACCATTTATCCACGTACCAAGCCCAATAGTGCTGGACGTGAGGGGGTGTATTGGCAAAAACCCAAGTCCCACATCAACTAGAGATTAGGCAATTGAATAATATATAAGTGGAAAGCAACCCTCACCTTACAAGCCGGTTTTGTAGGGTTGAGTTAGGCTTAATCCACTATTCTAACAATTATAAGTATTTTTTTACTAGTCACTTATGAGTTTTGACTCAATTTAAATATTCTTTAATTTGTGTCTTTAAATAACTATCAAAGTATTCTTTTAAAACAAAGTCTCTTCAACTTCAAGCAATCAATTATTTGTTTACAGTCAAGCAAGCTCAAAGTAATTAAGTATTCTTTTATAGTTAAGTCTCTCTAAGCTCAAAGTAATAACATTAAGTTAAGTTTATTAAGTACAATATTTCTTACAGAGAGAATGAATATATTTTTACAATGAAAATGTGTTCTCGTAAATTTATCTTTTTTTCTAAATCTTTAGTTTCTTTATAATGATTGTTACAAATTCTTGAGTGTCTCTTACAGGTTTACTTCATCCATTATTATCTTCATTTCTTGTAGAGAAAAGTGTTTGTTGGTGTATTAAATGCTTACATTAAATGCATTTCACCAAATTGTCACTTCTTATTTAATCAAGTTACTTATCACCTTTTAAGTATCAAAAGAGAGGAACCATGTGTGTGTAAGGGTGACAACATGGCGTGGCGGGGCGAGTACATGTTTCTCTATACCCGTCCCTGTCCTCATTTTCGTATGATATATTTATCCCCGTCCTCGTACCTAACGAGTATGAAATTTGTGTCTTTATCCTCATATATACTCGTCAAGTATCCATTATACTCGTACCCGTCTTGCATTTGTTCAAAAATTAATTAAATATTATGTTTTACAAAAAAAATATTAAAAATAAGAATTTCAACATAAAATAATAATTGCAAAATCACATTAATTAAACTTTATTTGACATAAATTAAAAATAGATTAAGAAATTACAAAAAATTTAAGTAAATTCTAAAAAAAAAATTAAATATTTATAAATTTTAAGCGGGTACAGATACGAGGCAGGTATGTATATATCAATCCTCGTCCTCGTACCTAGTTTAATGAATTGGGTATTACCTATACTTGTACCCGTATTTGTTCAAATTAGATATTCTCCATCAAAGTCGGGACAAATTCGAACATAACTTACGCGTACAGGTTTACTTTTCATCCATACGTGTATCAATCTGAAATAGCTTTTTCTACAAATTTTCATTCTGTGGGATATGCTAGTCTTTTTTCTAACAAAAAGCTTATTTCCTTTAGTGAATTGTAAGTATCAATGAAGCTTAATCAATTCGACCCGTTAAAGAATCATTTGAATAAAAATGATTTTATTACCAGACATCATAAATGATATAAGTTAAGAGCATATGTCTTACAGATGAAATGTTTTGTCTATGAGTTTTAATATCAAGATAAAATCAAAAACCTGATTCCACTAGGTTCCATTCTCGAAGAAGATGGCTCGTAACGAGGAGAAGGTGCAATTGATGCTAAATTGTTTCATCACGATGAAGGCAGAGATGAAGAAGCCGACTGGTGATGTTAACAAATCATGCGCAAGATCGAGCACATAGTAGTGGAGATCCAAAACGAGGGTCATAGGGAGCACTGCCTTCACGACCTCAACGACAAGATCAACAAACTCATTCGCAAGAAGTCCCATTGGGAGTGAGCCGCACCCTCGACCTCAACGAGCCCAACCTCTCCAAGCATTCTGCCAAGATGACCAACCTCAATGACAACATTGTTGGCATCCCCAACCCAGACGATCGTGGCCCCAGCTACTGCTACTTCGACATCCGCAAGCTCTTTGAGAAGCCCCCACAACTTTGTCGTTGTTGCACCCGCTACGATATTTAATAGCTGATATTTTAAGATCAGTTATTTGATAACCAATCTTAAAAGTATAACTTTTAATATCATCACTTTTAAGATCGATTCTATAATTCATTTTTAAAAGTAAAAAATAATTGATCTTAAAAGTCTTTTTTCCATTAGTGTGTATATGTTTTATTATTTAATAAAAATATTAATGACTAATAAATAATAGTCATTAAAAATATATTTATGTAAAAAGTAAGAATAACTTTTAATTTATTTTGTTAGGAAAAACTTAAGTTATATATCGACTAGAAATATGATAATTAAAGAATATATAAGTAGATGACAACCCTTACCTTATAAGTTAATTTTGTTATGTTGAGTTATGTTCATAACTCACTATTTTAAGATGGGTTGAGTTATATATAATTAAAAAGTATATAAGTTAAAGAATTTAGATTTTATATAATTATTGTTAGAGTTATTCCACTCATTCATAAGATGCAGCATGTAAAGTTATTTATTAAATATCACTAAAAGTTTATTTTATTATATTCTACTTATGTTTTGTTTTCATTCATTTAAATGTTTGAGCTATCTTAACATATGTTAATATGAGTTGTGATGTTAATTTTGAGTTTGGTTTTACATTACGTTAATTATGATGTTGTGTGACATTCTGTATATGTAACTTGATAATGAATCCATTAGTTATTTGTTGATAAATTGATCGACTAATAATGAATCAGAATGAAGGATTCCGTTAGATTTTTAATGAATTTACCAGGTTATGACATTGAGAAGCCCTCATTAGTAGATAGAATGGAGACCATTCACAAAGCACTTTCTACTTCTGTCCATAACGTGGCTTATTCGATCGACTAACCAATCTAATTAATCAAGATATTTGTATGCAAACAGATTATCATATGTAGCATTATGAATTCAAAAAATTCTGCAATTAATGAATAGAAAAAAAGATTATCATATAGCATTGACTTTGTAGTTTGTATCATATTCATTTCCGTTCGAGTGACTAGTGTTTTTTTAGACAAAATATCATAATAGATCCAAATTAAATATATTAAACACATTCCTTGTTATTCTAAATTTGTAAACATGGTATGACATGCAGTAAGGACAATTTTGCTTAAATCACACAAGCCTCAAATCATAAAATATATTGTAATTATGATAAAATATATTATCGCATATGATACTATATATTCAATGCGTTTAAAATATATTATCGCAAGTGATAATATATATTATCGCTGATGATGTATTTCACTCGATAATTCATGATATACATTAAATTTTAATAATTTAAATATTAAATTAAAAATTATTTTAAATAAGTTAAATTAATTTAAACATTAAATTAAAAATTATTTTGAAAATTATTTAATATTTTTTTACATAAATTTAAATTAATATATAATGTATTATAAAACTTTAAAACTTTACAAAAAAAATTGTAAATTTAATCTATTTAATAAAAAATTTTAATTTAATAGTTAAATATTTTAAATTCAATGTGTATCGTGAATGAGTGGAATAAATTTAACAATAATTGTTTACTCTTTGAGTAATTAGTAGATAATTTTTCATTTTTTATTTATTAACACACACAGTATTTTAGCATGTGTATTTCACATGCTAAATGCTTATTATATAACTAAAATTTATAATAAATTATATTTAAAATTTATATAAATAAATATTTTTAAATTTATAGATTATAATTTAAATATAAGATAAATAATTTATATTGTGATACAAGATTATTTTTAATTATTGATAATTTATTTTAAAATATTAAAATTTAATTTATTAATAAATGTGACAAATAAAAAAATTGAATTATATAAGAAGTTCAAAAAAATATAAAAATAACTCCTAA